AAAACCGCGCTACTACTATCAACTTAGTAGTACCGCGGGTTTATAACCCTCGCTACTACTATGGCATGTGTCGGGGGGCACGGTAGAGACCACTTAGTAGTAGCGAGGGTTAAAAACCCGTGCTACTGCTAATTAGGAATAACACTTCTTTTTGTGCCGCACTGCTGCTAAGATTCTGTGTATAAGGTTTTCCCTAGTAGTGCTTGCTTGTGCCTCCTACTGGATTGATACCTTGACTCTTAACTGAAGGAAATACTTATCTCTACTTTGCTGCATCATCCTTTTCTCTTCAAGGAAAAAATCAACGCAAACTCAAGAAGTAGTACTTCATCACCTCCATGTCATACAAACTAAGCATGCTCACTGTGGATGGGCTCATTGTCCAACTTTGATCAGGTGTGCCATGGCCAGGTGGGGTGTGACGTGCTTAGCTCGGTCCCATCCTCTAAAACCCACAACAAATCAAAAAATAAACCAGCCAACATGGCATACGCAGTCATCAGTGGAAAAAAATTCATGAATACGCAATAGATGCACATCTTTTCATTGATAGAAAGAAAGTTTTACATCACAAGATTATCATGATGCACTAAGCCATGTGCGCAACAAGGCATGGAGGTGATCGCAGAGCAAACAGATGAGGCTGCTCATCCCCACTATGGCCTAGGCTAACTCTCTGGGATAATGTTCCTGATTGCGGCCGTGCCGGCTCTAGCCCAAAGGCGCGCTTAGTCCTTGATTATAAAGTATATGTGGGAGACTGCTGGCCAGTCATCGTCGAAGACACAACCGTTTCGATGCTTCCAGAGCCACCATGTAGTGAGGATGATGAGGGAGGCCAGCCCTTTGCGAGTGGCAGTGGACGCGTGGGCACAAGATGTAGCCCACCAAGCATGGAACTCCATATCCTCGTTGGGTAGGTTGGTGGTAGATCGAACCCATGCAAGAACCGCATGCCGCACTTGTCTGGAGAAGGAGCATCCTGCCAATAGGTGTTGCATGGTTTTCTCTTCTTGGTCGCAAAGTGCGCAGACAGATTTGTGAGGCAGACAGTATCGAGCAAGGTGCTTGGCCGTCCAACATCGGTCTTGCAATGCTAGCCAGACGAAGGATTTGATGTGTGGTGGCGCCCAGATTTCCATGTAGGCTTCCAGTATGGGTCCTCGCAGGCACCAAGGAACAATGCATGGTAGCATGAGTTGGCGGAGTGCGTGGCCGACGTGTTCCATCGCCAGCTAAGGATGTCCAACGACTCCAAGAGCTCGATGTGGCACACAGAGCACTCTAGTTCAACATATTGTATCATGGCAGGCAGCCCAAGGCCGCCTTGGATATCCTGTACCCAAGATCTGTGGTGCGAGCCATCACGGATAGTGTGTATTTTGCAGTGTTGTCGAGGGTGTTGGGAAACGTAGCATCCAATTTAAAAAAAATCCTACGCTCACGCAAGATCTATCTAGGAGATGTATAGCAAGGAGAGGGGGGAGTGTGTCCACGTACCTTTCATAGACCGAAAGCGAAAGCGTTTGACAACGCGGTTGATGTAGTCGAACTTCTTCTCGTTTCGACCGATCAAGCACCAAACGTACAGCACCTCTGAGTTCTACACACGTTCAGCTCGATGACGTCTCTCGAACTCTTGATCCAGCAAAGTGTCGATAGAGAGTTCTGTCAGCACGATAGCGTGGTGACGGTGATGGTGAAGTGATCCGCGCAGGCCTTCGCTTAAGCACTACAAAGATATGAACGGAAGCGTAAACTGTGAAGGAGGGTGCCGCACACGGGTAGGAATCCATATTATGTGTTCTAGCGGTGCCCCCCCCCCCTCCCCCCCCCCTCATATATATAGGTTGGAGGGGAGGAGAGGCAGCCAAGGGGATG